AATGATTCTGGCAAACTCATAAAAAGTTGGAGACATGTATAGTCGACATCATCTCAAATAGTCGGGTCGGCCTCAGTAGAGGCGGAAAAAACCCGTTCCCAGCTGCTTCTCTGCCAATAGTGATCGCTTATGGTTAGTGATCAAATCCGGGAGAGAACAACCAGGGATGAAACGCTGTGAAAGGGCTCATTCCGATCCTCTTGACACCGCCCAGACTGGTTCGGACGATATTAACTGTGGCTTGGAAGTGGAGTTCACGCTGATCATATGGGCGGAGTTATTGGTGTCATTTTACCTTCCTAATTAGTGGGCATCTTTGCAAATCAATAAAGAAGACAGAACACTAGAAAAGAAAGCGCATAGTAGGGCTCGCCCATTCAATGTGGTCGGTACCTCGACCAGTGTGGAGTGTACCTCTAACAGATTCCGGACTGGCGCATATTTCGCGTAGCGTTTACGTGCGATCAATCGCTGACTATCATTACCTATGTCCCCGCCCACACGATCAGCGTGTACTCTGATTCGAAATATTCGGAAACAGATCGGGAAGGAATCAATAAATGAAGTTTTTCAGAAGGTGTTGACAGTCGTTCATCATATTACTGTAGCAATTCAATCAGGCAAAAGGTCCGAAGAGTAATGTGCATAATGCACCCTGATTACTCAAGAATCGTAAAATTTTAATGTATAGCAAAAAAGCACCCCTGGCGCAGCAGAATAAATAATAAATCAATATTAGAGATGAATTCTTCTCAAACTTGGAATAAAGAGATTTCCGGGTGGAAAAAGGCCAATTGTGATTCACTAGAGGGTTACGGTCAGAGAAAGTACAGTATTACTATGTACTACCCTATAACCTGCTTTAGTTAAGAGGTATTTCGTCCTCACATTTGAGTTCCCCTTCCGTTCTCTCATTCCGAGGCTCTTGATTAATGACAGCGAAAAGCAATTCCCCATGATATTGTTTGGTTTTTCTACCCTTCGCCGAAGCTTAACAACATGCCGTGCTATGTAGCTGTCCGAACAGAGGAAAGAGGCGCTTCTTGGAAAAAGAAGTAGTAATTACCTGCAAGGGAGCGTGCGCACGACATCACCCGTTTGATAGGGATCGATGCAGACGGCACAATCAATGTCGAGCTCCGGATCGCCCACTTTCAGACAACGCGTCGGAATTCGCATCAGAGCTTTTCGTGCTGCATTGAATAACCTGAAAGTAACACAGTCAATGATGAGTTATATCAGAGGGTTTACCTTAAAAATGAGACTGAAACTCCGATTCCCTTCATATTCGTTCTACATTCACCACCTAGAAATCTCCGGTTTAATCGCTGCGTAGACTGTTTGCAGGGTAACAGGGTCGATTAAGTAACGCTTCATGCCCTTATCAAGACCAGATATCAGATATTGAAAGGCATTTCATTCTGCTTACCTTTAGAAGAGAAGGATATATCTTTTTCAGCAGCGTCATTTTCAGGTTATCTCGATTTTTAATGTTTCTCTTAGCTGAAATTATTGGCGGATCTGTTGCATGGCATATCGCCAAGACATTGTGGTTTCACTCTTTACAGTATTCGCAGGCACATATGGAAATGTTCGTTAACAGTCAGAATATGTGCCATATCACACATCAGGTGCTCTTAAGCTTTTGTTTCTTTTTGTGGATTATTACAACTAAGTTACCAACTTTCAGCGGGATTTCATATTCGCTCTCGCCTTCGAAGTTACGGGATGTTTTGTCATTCGATTAGTACTGCCACGATTGCCTTCAAATATAGGCAGATACCTCGCACCAGCATTTATTGCTAGTCTATTTTCATTCGGTTAGTGACGATCGCTTTCTTTTGTTATCAGATACGGTCCTTAACAACCGAATCGAAGGGGCGTGTCAGTGTGGTGTGGATTTTGGAGCGGCGCCAGCTCTTTTTCCAACAGTCGTTGCCAGATGAGGCAAGCAGTGATTGGTGGGAAATGAACTGGCGCCACTCCAAAATCCAGGTCACACTGTGTCACGCCCAGAACACATTATTGGTTGGGGATTTTGATCGAGTCCGTACGGCACCCCACCCCCCCCCCCCCCCTCCCTAGTTCCCTCCTCATAGATTCCCATCGAGCGGGGGAGACAGAGGGAGGGGAGGAGAGGTATGTGGAACATGTGAAACGGGAAAAACCGCGAGGAGATTACGACCCCATCCCTACCCTACCTACCACTTCCTTAGATTTTTCCAACTTCCTACCAGTTTTCCGGAACTTTCCGAAGAGTTTTCCTATTTTTTCCACAAATTTGCTGCCGAGGGTGTGCAGCACAAATCACATGTAAAACAGGAGAACCTCGAAAATTCACCAACCGGAAAACGCCGCTATCTTTCGGAAGGCGAATACGACTCCCCTACCTCTCTTATAGCGTCCGTGAAACACGAAAAATCAACTAATGAGAAAAATTTTCTCAGGCAACCTCCCCCAGCGACCAAATACTACCCCCTCTCCTTTTGGGGATTCACCAGCAATGATGCGCCCGCATATACGTCTGCCTTTGCACAGTACAGTAAGTTACAGTCGTTCCACCAAAGTCACTGGGGGCGTGTCAGGGCGACGTCAGGTGTGTTTTGACGCGGCTCCAGTTCCTTTTCTAACACCCAGAGAAGCCCGATGCCGTATTGTTCGACTAAAAGCGGGCTGACGCCGTGCCAATTCCCTTCCCCTCCTCCCGCTCCGTTGACATGATGCTGCATACTAGCTGTGACCAGTGTTGCACGCGTCGCGCCGCCGCAGCGCGGATCTCCTGACCTGGTCCTTACCACAAAGTCATGGCTTCCCCATCCACTATTTATGATTTGTAGCTTCGGTAATAGATTTCGGTTTGCAGCTATTCTATTTATTGGTGATGCTGGACTGGATCCTATAGTCGCATCGTCGTTATTCTTTGGATGTAGCGGTTTGACAGCACAATGGTTCATACTGCTGTACTGGGTAAGCATTTCAGCTCGTTTTTTTTTCGTAGTTCTGTGCACACTACACCTATAGCAATAATATTACAAGTAA